TACCTTATCTTTTTCTTTAGAAAACCCTTTTATCATTGCTATAGGACTACCCACATAAAAATTGTGCCAACCTGAGTGGTTTCTCTGCTCAGTGGAATGGATTCTCAACTAGGTGGGAGCTAAGGGTTACTTATTTTAAAATTTCCTTTGTATTTTACATTTTTTCAGGGTTTCTATTTTTCTGATAATATATTTGAGCAACTTTACTTTTGCCTAATTAGATTTTTTTTTCAATAAAAGTTTTTAACTTTGGTGACAAGTAAGATCTTACTTTACAGATCAGCAGATAATTCTACTTTCATCAAGTTTAATCTTAAGGTTGTTTGTGTGTGTTTCTTTTAAATGATTGGAACCTTCCCCCAAGAAGGGGGGAAAAAAACAACCCCTACTTTGAAAAATTATTTCTCTAGTATATCTTAATAGGTTGAGTAAATAACAGCAGCTGAACTACGATTAATGAGGCACAAACCTCTATTTCCTGTGTTAACAAGAAAGACAAATTGATTTTTAGGGTAGTTTGACAAAGATGGAATTAGCAGATTCATGATGTTGGTTGCATCTTAAAGTGAATTTTGCTATGTAAATATCATTTTCCCAGAAGTCTGACTCAAGGATTTGTCTTTGTATAACTTCCAACATAAATAATTTTACCCAAATTGAAGAAAATTCTTGGACATTTGAGGCTTAAAGGAATTGGATTTTTATGAGACTACTGAGCCCATCTTCTGGGTTTCAAGTTCCCTATATGCTCTGAAACATGTGATGTATTAGAAACACCTATAAAGTGTGGCTAGGTCCTTACTAGGTTATTTGGAGAAGTTTTTGTGAAGTGAATGCTTGAGTATTTAAAGAATGGCCTAGACCGTTCTTATTAAAGAAGTACCAAAAAAAAAAAAAGGCCTTTTTCCTTAGATTCTGGTGTTTTGATCTTTGATGAGATTGTCTATAACTAATTTTATTTTGTTCTTTGAGATTGTCAGGAACTGATTCTGTGTTTCAAGTTGTTTCCTCCCTCCCTCCCCTCCAAGGGCCCTGAATAAAACACAGTTGATTTCTGCAGGTTGAAAATTCTCTTTAGCTGTTGTACCATCCGTTTTAGCTGAGGGTGAAAATGATCATGTCTGTGTGTCCCCTGTCTCCTTTCTCCCAGGCTGGGGAGTACTAAATGTCTTTAATGGTTAGTATTGGGGGCAAAGGGACCAGATTTTTTGCTTCTGTATCAGGTCATAGTATTTTTTAAGTCTCCTCTTTATTGTCTGTTAAATAACCTTTGAGGATGGTACAGTGGTGAAGTACCTACCAAAGATCATGACAATTTGAATCTATCAGCCACTCTGTGTGAGTAGAACTCTGGCTTAGAAACTCCTGGCACAGTTCTGCCTGTTCCATAGAGTCACTCTTAGCCGAAATCAACTTGACAGCACACAGTAGCATTGATAAACTATAGCTCACCTCAGCTTTCCTTTCCTTTCCTCCTCTTAACAGTTTATAGAAGTAGGTACAGAGACAAATGGCATTGTCTTCATCAAGCTTTAGATATACTTTAAAGTTTTCTTTAAGTTCTTTTCAGGGCCAAACTCTACTTGGGATAACTGCAGTTGTCCTTCCTTTTACTTTTCAACCATAAGCTGCAGGAATTCTACTTAAAATTGGCCCAGAAAAAAACACAATATACTGACCTCTAAAGAAATACTGATTTTACCTATCACTCTAGGAGTAGCTTCTCTGGTGTTTGCTCTCCAGTACAAGTGCATTGACCATTGTCAAGAATTTCAAACATTGAAGTAATCTTGTTGTTGTTGTTGTTGTTATGTGCCATCGAGTCATTTGAGACTCATAGCGACCCTGTGTACAAGAGCTCTAAACACCGTTCTATCCTGTGCCAACCTAGCCATCTCAAATTGCACTTATTCCCACCACTCCAGTCACAGAATCAATCCATCTCAACGAAGGTCTTCCTCTCCTGCGCTGCACCTTCACTCTGCCAAACATAATGTCCCTCTCCAAGGACCAGTCCCTCCTTGCAACATGCGTAAAGTATATCAGATGAAGCTTCAGAATCCTTGACTCCAAGAAGCATTCCGGCTTCACCTTCTCTAGGACAAACCTGTTTGTTCTCCTAGCAGTCCATGGTATATTCAACACTCTTCTCCAGCACTACAGCTCAAAGGCATCGATTCTCTTTCTATCATCCCTATTCACTGTCCAACTCTCTGATGCATAGCACGTAATTGTGAAGACTATAGCCCGGATCAGGTGCACCTTAGTCTCCAGACTGTTGTTGTTGCTCTTCAGTACTCTTGAGAGGTCCCTCACGGCTGGCTTTCCCAGTGCAGTTCATCTCTTGATTTCCTGGCTGCTGCTACCAAGAGTGTTGACTATGGAGCCAAGTAAACTAAAACTGTTAACTATCTCTGTCTCTGATGCTTCCAATTGGCCCAATGGTGAGAATCTTTGTTTTCTTGATGTTGAGCTTCAATCCATATAGGAGGCTGCAGTCCTTGAACCTTCTGCAGCAAGCGCTTCAGGTCCTCCTCAGTTTCAGCAAGCAGGGTTGTGTCATCTGCATAACGCAGGTTGTTGATGACTCTTCCACCAATCATGATGCCACATTCCTCCTCGTACAGCCCAGCGTCTCTGTTGATCAGTTCTGCATACAGATTGAAAAGGTATGGAGACAGAATACATCCCTGACAGACCCTCTTCTTGATTTTGAACCATGTAGTGTCTCCTTGCTCTGTTCTGACGACTGACTGCCTCTTGGTCCAAGTATACGTTTCGCATTAGCACAATCAAATGTTCAGGGATTCCCTTTCTTCTCAGAGTCAGCCACAGCTTGTTGTGATCCACACAGTCAACAGCCTTTGGTTCTTTTGGTATTCTTTGCTTTCTGACAAGATCCATCTAACATTAACTATAATATCCCTAGTACCATGATCTCTTCTACATCCAGCTTGCATATCTGGCAGTTCTCTGTTGACATATTGTTCCAAACATTTTTGGATAATTTTCAGCTGAATCTTGCTTGCATGTGATATTTATGAAATTGTTCGATAATTTCTGCACTCTGTTGGGTCACCTTTCTTTGGAAGGGGAACAAATATAGATCTCTTCAAGTCAGTCGGCCAGCTGGCTGTCCTTCAGATTTCTTGGCACAACTTAGCACATCCAGGGCACTGTCTGTCTTTTGAAATATGTCAGTTGTTATGCCGTCAACTCCTGGAGCCTTGTTTTTTGCCAATTCCTTCAGAGCAATTTGAACTTCCTCCTTCATTACCACAGGCTCTTGCTCCTAAGTTATTTCATGAAATTCTTCTGTGTTAGCCAATTCCTTCTGATACAGTGACTCTGTGTACTCCTTCCATCTTCTCTTGATACTTCCTGGATCATTTAACATTCCTCCCAAAAAATCCTTAAGAATTGCCACCTAGGGCTTGAATTTGCTTAGTTCCTTTAGCCTAAGAAACGCTGAGCAAGTTCAGCCCTTTTGATTTTCTGACTCCAGCTCTCTGCACATTTCATTATAGTATCTTGCTTTGTCGTCCCGATTTGCCTTTTGAAATTTTCTGTTCAGCCCTTTGATTTCTTGGTTTCTTCCTTTAGCTTTGGCTTTTCTCTATGCCGGGGATGAAAAGGTGAGAAAAAAGATGGGGTTGGTTTCTTTTTTTTTTTTTTTTAAAGTAATTTCTAGATCCATCCTGAAATACAATGTGGTGAGCGACAGGATAATATCCATATGCATACAAGGAAGTCCAGTGAATACCACTGTCATTTAAATATATGCACCAATAACTAGATACAAAGAGGAGGAAATAGAACATTTTATCACCTTTTGCAGTCAGAAATTGATCAAACATGCAGTCAAGATGCATTGATAATAATGGGTGACTGGAACACAAAAGTTGGGAATAGTGAAGAAGGATCAGTAGTTGGGAAAACATGGGCTTGGTGAGAGAAATGAGGCTGGAGATAGAATGCTAGAGTTCTGCACGTTCAGTGATTTATTCATTGCAAATACTTTTTACAAGAAACATAAACACAGGAAATTACACATGGATTTCACCTGATGGTATGCATAGGAATCAAATCGATTACATTTGTGGAAAGACTCGGTGGAGAAGCTCAATATCAGCAGCGAAAACCAGGCCGGGTGCTAGTTGTGGAACAGACCACCAACAAGATTCAAGATGAAGTTGAAGAAAAGTTCAAGATGAAGTTGGGGAAAATTAAATTAAGTCTATGGGAACCAAAATTTGATCTTAAGTCTGTCCCACTAGAATTTCAAAACCATCTCAGCAACAGAGTTGAGGCCTTGAGCACCAATGAGCGTAGACCAAATGAGCTCTGGGAGGATATCAAGAAAATCATACATGAAGAATGCAAAAGATCATTTTTATAAAAGGCTGAAAAAGAAGTAATCTTACAAAGTGTTTTTAATCAAGTTACATAGCATGTATTATTATTATTATTATTATTATTATTTTTACATAGCACGTATTATTATTATTAACTCTGACCGATCATGAAACATTTTAGTTTTAAAATTCATGTTCACATTGTTTCAATGTCAAGTACCAATCTTTTGAATATTGACATTCTTTAAATCTCAGAGTTCATCAAAATCAGTTGTTTTCTTTTCTTGCAGGTCAAGTAGAAAAGGTGTATTCATGAAGGCAGCATAAAATGAACCTTTACTTAAAATAAAAATTTCATATTTAAAGCCAAACTTTAGATCAAAGTCCTTGTTGAGAGAGAAAATTTTTCCTTCTTTTGGCAAAGCTAACCCAATTCCAATTCTGTTAATATGGAGTCTGAAAATTGTTAAGATTGAGTTTTTATGAACATAATCATACAGTTTGTATTTTTCTTCTTTTTTTATTTTCTAATTATGAGTTTTAAAAAAATGGTCTTTTTCTTTCCTGTGTTGCTTTAAACATTAATAGTTATCAGTTGCTGTTAATAATTAAAAATTGTATAACCCACTTCTTTTTTATCCCTAGGCTGGACGTAAAGAAAGAAGTGATGCACTCAATTCTGCAATAGATAAAATGACAAAGAAGACTAGAGACTTACGAAGACAAGTAAGCTGGAACAAAATTTCAATTCCTTTTCAAATTTTTATAAGTTTGTATTAAAATTTGAACAAATACTCATACATTATTAGGGGAGAGGATAGGTTTTCACTCAAAAATTACTGTGTTTGCCTAAATGCTTTCTAATAAGCTTCCCATTGGCTAATAAAATTTCATTGGGACCAATTCATTCTCATTGAGATAGATTTAAATAAATTAGCTCTAAATGTGAGAAGGATGTACAAGTAACAGTATCAACTTAAAATAACTTTGGAACCAATAGAAAGGCTCTGGAAGGGAGGAGAGTGAGAGTGAGTGTGTGTGTTTGTTTGATCTTTGGAGGTGAGTTTTCAGTTTGAATATGGTAGATACAGAGATATTTGAAGTGCAGAATTTTCCTAGTTAGTCTGTATGAGGTAAAGAAGTTACATTTAATGTTAAGTAATGCCATTAATGTTTCAGAATTAATGTGAATTTTAGTCTTTAAAGACACTAGTTTTGATTTTATTTTTTAAAAGATATTAAGACTTAAAAAAATACATTACATAAAAGTAATAATGAAATCCCAAGATTGAATAGAGTCATTTTATTGCTTGTATGTGACCAGTGACATAGCTTACATTGCATTAGGAATCAGTATGTACATGCAGCTAAGCTATTGTGTGTTTACAGAAGTTTAAGAGAAAAAAGTGATATACTTTCTTTACCAAAATAAAAGAAAATTTTCACAATTTTATCATTAGCTCCGCAAAGCTGTCATGGACCATGTTTCTGATTCTTTCCTGGAAACCAACGTTCCACTTTTGGTATTGATTGAAGCTGCAAAAAATGGAAATGAAAAAGAAGTTAAGGAATATGCCCAAGTTTTCCGTGAACATGCCAACAAATTGATTGAGGTATGTGTATCGGCAGTTTCATAGTTACAAGTAACTTGGTGGAAATGTTTGCTTTTTAATCAGATGTTAATCATTCTTAAGGGACACTTAAAATTGGAATGCATCCCTGGTTATCTTTTGTTGAAGCAGTATTAGAAATGGTATATAAAATGATGGTCTTTCATTCATTATCTGTAACATTTGTCCATAATGATGACATTTTTTATGTATTTTTATTTAATTATGTACATGATAGATGTAATCTTTGTCCTAAAATCTTAACATCTCTATTTAATGTTAAGCCAGATAAATAAAGACAGGTTCTATGCAAGAGAGTGACATTTAAGTGACTGCTGGATGTGGCATTCTGGCAAATCACATAAGTGAATTTCTTTTCTTGTCTGTGAAGTTAAAATGCAAATAATACTACTTTGGGGTTATTTTGATGACTAAAGAGCTGAACAGAAGATTCCAAAAGGCTGCTCGGAATGACAAAGCAAAATACTACAATGAAATGTGCGAGGAGCTAGAGTCAGAAAATC